GTGTCTGACTGTCTGCCTGCCGGGTCTGACTGTCTGATTGTCTGCTTTTCGGGTCTGACTGTCTGAGTGTCTGATTGTCTGCTTTTCGGGTCTGACTGTCTGAGTGTCTGACTGTCTGCTATTCGGATCTGACTGTCTGACTGTCTGCTACGCGGTTCGGGCCCCATGCCGCGACCTCAATCGAAAAGTAGAGTTTAAGGATATTACTCAGCAATGTAGAATCAGACTGGAAATCAAATGGAGCTGGAACTGTGCTTACATAGAAACTGCAGTTTAGGAGCTAGGAAGGTATATTGCAACAGACAAATCTTGTGTATTAGCAACTATAGAGGGATGTAGGCTATAACATGGGTATATCTTGAGCGTTTTCCTGCCTAGGTGTGATGGGCCCTCGAACTCAAGGCCGTATCCTGGAAATCAAGGGTTAATGGTGGGCTTGGAAACTTCTCAAGATGATAGCTCTCTCTCCCTCTCTCTATCTCTCTTTGCGCCTGTTTTGGGCAGACTTCTTTGATCAGGATCCAGAAAGATGCCTCTAGTCTTCACAAAGTCTGATGTGAGCATCTAGCCCACCTCAGCTTGAAGTGTCTCCGAGCTCACAACAGCATCCCGTGCTGTTTCGCCCCTAAGCACCTGGCCGAATCTCCATCTCCTACAACCTAATTACGCTCCTCCAAACAAACAAGGAACTACTGGCTTTCACAAGGCTACTGTCCTTTTTTACCCTAAGTCTCCAAATAGCCCAATGTAGGTCATATTTATAGACTTTGGGGCCCAATGTAGGTATTATTTATAGACATGGAGCCCTAGGGTTAACTGGGCTGGATGCAGCTTCCGGCTGCTTTCAATGAAGCCTAGGACACTAAGACTCCAGACGCATCGCCTCAGAAAAAGCTCAAAGCAGAATGGAAAACACAATGGACGCTATCATAATAGGATAGGGTTTACAGGAGTGATACAGGAGGTAAAATCGGGCAAGGGTTTGGGGCGGTTTTTGGGCTTAGGCTTTCAAATAATGTCAGTAGTAGTTTCCATTTCTTTTCCATAATTTTGGGGGGACACTGAATCCCACATGCCCCTATAGAGAAAAACGATCAGCCCTATCTTACTATTGTAGCTTCCATTTTAACCGAATTCCTCTACCCCCTTCCAGCATAGCCCTCTGAGCCCTATCGCAACATGGTAGCTTCCATGATATTTTCCGTACTTTTCTTCTGCCCGAAAAACATGTATACCCGACACAGACCCTTAAACCCTGACACCATAAACCCTAGACCTAAAACCCTGAACCCTGAAACCTAAAGCCTAAACCGATTAAGTCGACCCATCAGCCCTTCTGGGTCCTTCTTGGCTGGCGCAGGAGCCGCTGCCTGCAGCTAAAGGCTTAGAGCTTAGGTTTCAACCCCAAAAGTATGTAAAATAATGGCCTTTTGGGCTATTCTTAGGGGTTTAGGGCTATTATTTTACATACTTTTTGGGTTTAGGTAGGTTTCAACATCCAAGGTTCAGGGTTAGGGGCTTGAGGTTCAGGGTTTAGGGTTTGTGGGTCGATCATGAAAATCAAATGAAAAAATTGGAAAATGAAAGGGAAACTAGGGTTGTAAAGGGTTATGGGATAAGTATTGTTCAGGGTTTCGGGCTTAAGGTTCGCGGGTTCGGGTTCGGGGTTTAGGGTTCAGAGCTTCAGGTCAAAAATGGGAGTTTGCAACATGGGAGTACCCTTGAAGACCGCATGCGTATACAGCGATTGCAAATGATTCTTGGGAGGTGTCCATTATTTTCAGAAGTTACAGAATGACTATGGGAGCTGTTACAAGTTCAGGGGCAGTAGGGATACATTGAAGATTAACCACCCCACCCTCCTTAAAAAACAACCCTAATCTGAAATACTCTCAATATGTAAAAATATGCTACACGGGGGATTTGTTGCACTGGGAAGGTGAGGGAGAGGGGAATACAAGGGGACTAGCGGGGTGCCTATGAAGGATTGTAGGGGAGTGGTCTTCAGAATTTCCATGTCTCAAAATGGGAGCCTGGTTCTTACAACGAATGAAATCCTGAAAGACACATACAACCTCAAAAGTGAGAGCCTAAAACCCCAAACTCCTAAACAATGGCAAGACCCTAGCCCTAAACCCTTTCCAGAAGCCCTTGTGGGTTCTCAAAAGGGGCGCTTCCAGCACAGGGGCAAGCCGGACATCAGGGGGGCAAAAAAAACACAAAAACTTTAGACAAGGATATCCCATTGAGCCAGTCGTTGCCACAAAAAAACAACACCTTCCCATCAAAACCCAAACCCTTGCCATCACAGTCCAAAAAGAATGCTTCGCATGTGTTGTAGACTCCAAACCCTGAACCCTTGAAAAACACTACAGCTCACGCAAGCAGGTAGGACTCTCTACTTGCTTTTGCCAAGCCCGGCACGGCTGCCGGTGGTGGCGAGGGCGTACTTCCCGCCTGCATATCAGATAAAAGCTTGCAAGAGTTCAGGGTCTACCTAAACCCCAAGAGTATCTAAAATAAAAGCCCTAAACCCCTAATGATAGCCCAAAAGGGCATTATTTTACATACTTTTGGGGTCCAGGTAGGCCATTATTTGTTTAAGAGCTTGAGGGCTCTGAATACCTGACACCAACCAACAACTACGTCCCTTGCTCTGATCACTGAACCCTGCGGTGCGGAAAGCCCCAGGTGGCAGTATCCGATCAACTGTATGATAACGGTAATGTAGAAGCCTAGGGTTGATATATAGACGTTCTATAGGGCTTATGTAGGGATAATGGAGAAGAAAATGGAAAGCACTATTTAGGGTTTTTCGTTTGGGATTTTGGGGATAATGGGGAATCCAAGGGAAGATGAAATGCAAACTGAGATTGCATCGCGGTTTCTACAGAGTTTCACCCTCCAAACGAACATGCAGCCTGAAAAAGGGCCCTTCATGGACTACCGTTCTTTGACATGGGGGCTACATGGGGTTTCATGTTAGTTTGGGGTTTGTAGTCCCCATACAGCCCCTGCACTCAGTTAGCTCCCAAGTGCGAACCTCAGACGCACCTTGGAGAAACAAAGGTACCTGTTCCTCGCACTCGCGTGTACCCACACGGAACTTCTTTCTTACAACAAGTTGTCTGGATAGGCGTAGGGCACCTCGACGCGAAAACCTCCGCACTAAACCATAACTTAACTTTTGAGGGCTCTTTCGTGCCTCGGGTTGACTCATCGCACCCTGGCAGACATAGGCTTGCAATGTGCTGGCGCACAGTCAATGGGGGCGGGGCTAAATGGTTAGAATTGGTTTGGGGCTTCAATATACTATAATATACCATAATAATATACTATACTACAGTAGTTTCCAGTTTGTTTTCCATTATCCCCATATAAACCCCTAAATAATATTTTTTTTCTTTAAGTATCCTAGGGTTGATGAATTAGGGTCTCCTGGGATAACTCCGGAAAAACGAATCACCTTCCACAGGCCAGATCAAAAGAGATAGCTGCCATGGTCTGAAGCCACACTCCGGAAAAAATAAGAAGCTGCTTATGGAAGGCGAGCAATATGAGAAGCATGGGCAGGTAGGTATGCAGCCGAATGCAGAAATTAAAGTGCTCAAGACTTCGTGCGACATTTGCGTGCGCTCACGAACAGCTTAGCAGGTTGGTTTCAGGAACACAGAAATACTGTTTGGCATGCTTCGTGCTTCGGTATCAACTCTTGCTTTGACCTACAAGTCTGTACTTCCCGCATTGCAGGGCCGCCGGCTTTAGGGTTTAGGGGTTTAGGGTTCCTCATTTGTAGCAAGCGGGGCATGATGGGGTAACTGAAAACAAACCTATCTAACACCCGGAAAATCCACCTTCCACGAGAAGCTGTCCTTTCAACGTCTGGCTGCTGCTCTGTGGGAACCATATTCTTACGCGGGGTTAGCAGGGAGTAAGGGAGTATAGTCTATACGGATGACATAGGGATTACATATTCACGTATTCCCTACTAACCCTCAGTAGGTATTCCTTGTTGGGCTGACTATACACATACATTTTTCAGAGTGGGGGCTCCTTGTGCTTGCAGGCCTGAAGCTGAACCCCCCAAAATGTTGCAGCTGTAACTCAAGACTGAAAAACCTTCCACCTACTGCTCCGCAAGCCCTGGACCCGAACTTCAATCCTAAAACTCATCCTCCTGATTTCCTCACACCCCAAACTCTCAAACCCTCAAAAAACTCGAAACCCCAAACACTGCTACTTCAACAGTCTACTGATTTGCTCTTAGGGCGCTGAAATTAAGCTACCATATTCTGAGTACATGCCAAATAACAGGCTTCCTCATTATGATGTAAATTCCCTAGACCCTAAACCGTAAACCCAAGCAACCTCACCCTAAACCCTAGATTCATCTAAGTTCCTTAACAGCAAACCACACTTATACAGGAGATCTTGGCTGCCTGGGCGGGTGCTGTCGCCTCGGCCTGCATCTCCAAGGGTTTAGGAGTTAGAGTGTAGGATTTAGGGTTTCTAGGGTTTAGCCAAATATACTCATGCATTCGTGAACGGTGTTTCGGCTCTGGGGTGTATAGGGTTTAGTTGGAAGTTGGCAGATGGGATCACATGCGGGCTTGGATTACATGTGAAGTGTGGTAGGGAGCCATAGATGACGTACTCCCAACAACCTCCTGATTCCAAGCATGGTCCGCTAGAGCAATCTTATCATCTGACTGTGCGAGTCCCCAGGCAACAGAAGAGCCCGATTTTTACAATACAGCTGCTACAAAAGTAGTGTGCATACTCAAACACAACACAACCCTAATTCACTAGTAGACCCCGTACAACGATGCATAGGCCCTATATCAATCTCTGCAAACCCTAGCTTGCCCTTCTCAGCTAGGCAACACTGTACTAACCCTGGACAAGCCGCTACGTGGCCAGTCGGGAGTTTCTTCTACGATATACCTTGTTGAGTCCGTGATAGGGACCCCATGGCCCCCTTTCAAATCTCCATATACCCACAAGGTCGCTAAGGATAGAAACGCTTTAGCCCCTAAACCCTACGTATCCTCTGGAACGACCTATGGGTGCCCCACTCTGTTGGACCCTGCGAACCCTCTATCCTCAACAATACACCCTTCCCCTTGATTCTAGGGCGGTGGCCTCCAATGGGCGCTTGGAAGCCACCAGGGGATGGTTCACCTGGGTTTAGGGTTTAGGGTTTAAGGCTTAGTTTCCCGATTCATTCAGGCTATTTAGGCATACTTCGGGCTAATTAAGGAAGAACCTTCTGAGGGGGTAGTAAGTGAACCCACGATACACGTGCGGGTTCTGCAAAAGGGGGTCTTTACAAAATAGTTCGAAGGGCAGGGACTACAAAGGGTTGAGGGGGCGCGTGAGAAATATCACCAAGAGGGATCATTTTGCGACACATAATCTTTAAAGGTGGCATTGCTTTGTGACCGTTACAGGGAGTGAGAGAAGCCTAACAATGGGGCTAGTCCACTTCAGACTTGCGTGGAGAGTATAAACTGACTGGTTCTTATTGTCCCAGTAAGTAAAGCAGCAACATCGGAGTCGCCTCGCGCTTCCTCTAGTATCGAAGGGTTGCTGCCGCGAGCCTCCTAAGGTCCTACAACCCTAACCCTAAATAATAGGGTTTTAGGGCCCAAGTACTATACTATTAATGGAATTTGGGCCCTAAAGCCCTATTATTTGAACCTTAAAGTTTAGAGGTTTTGGGCCGTTTGTGCGCAAAAGGCCTGGGATGGATGAACCAGATGGGTCAGTCCTCAGTGAATCTTCTGGGAATGATTGGTCATCGTCTACCCGGTCTACCCTTTGAGTAAAGCTGATGTCCACAGTGGCGATGCTGGAACCCAAGCTTGGACCACCACACATCTAACCTACATAAAACCTGGCAAATGATAAACCCAGTACAATCCCTAGATAATCCCTATATAACCCTAATATAACCCCAATATAACCCCAATACAACCCTAATATAACCCTAATATAACCCCAATATAACCCTAATATAACGCTAATATAACCCCAATATAATCCCAACATAACCCTAATATAACCCTACCCTAATACGACCCCAATATAACCCTAAGCTAGGTACAAGTGCCTGAACTCTTAAGCCCAAATCTGTCGGCACCAAAGCCTTGCGAGCACAGCGATCTGACCCCGCATACATAAAGTCACGAATCCCTAGAAGCCCAGGTACCCATATAGTAGGTCATTGGGTTACAGATAGTATATAATTATATAGGGTCTTAAGGACAGGACCCAATATGTAGGTAACTGGGCTTCTAGGGAATATTCGCAGAGAACACTGCGCAACGAGCAAAACCGATCTACAACCACCAAAACCGATCAGGCAGAATCCACATAATCCAAACTACATTTTGAAAGGCGAAAATCCCGTTTTTAAGTAGCCTCCCACCTTTTCCAAAGGAGTACACATCTACACAATATACCGTTCGTAGTATCCAGATGAGTTCTCTCCAACGCAATTGCCACGCAACTCCTGTTAAGTCCCTATCCGATCTCTTGCCACGGCACTTCAGCGGCCTTCTCCGCATGGCGGGCCTCCTGGTGCGGTAGGGCTCTCGGGGTGGCATTGCAACACTTCCACGAAGCCCTTCTGTGAACCCTTCGGCATCCTTCCGCGGACCATAGCGTCCTCAAATGTTTGACAACCTGCATTTCTTGCTGCCGCAGACCTTCGGTGAACTTTTTTGCTTCCGCGAAGGTTCGTTCCCTCATTGGATGCTTTGGAAGCCCTTCCACGAACCTTCCATGGCCACCGTACGGTGCACATTTTTGAGATTGATCTCAAGTTTGTGTCGACAACAAATGAACCGAAGACTAGCGGAAAAAAGGCTGCTCAGACTTTGCCCTTCTTGGGAACCAGCTTTGATTAGGAGCTGGGAAACTGCTGCCTTTTACTCATTATGCTGCCTGTTTGGAGTTAGAGCGTCCTTCTGTTCCGAAAGACCCGCGATTGCGGATGCCTATTCGACTCCAGTAGAATTACTGATGAACCGTTAGCTGGAAAAACTGGGAGTTCTGCAGTCCTCAAAGTAGCAGCAAAAACAGGATCGCTCAAGAAGACCTAACCCTTGATCCTCAACCCCAATTACTTAAGGTCTTATAGGTTATACCTCTTAAATAAAAGGGGATTACTACTAAAATGTAGGTAATTGGGACTACATGTAAGTGAGCCCTAAAGCTGCCTGGGAGATTGCACAAGGAGTGCAGAAGCTCACGAAGAGGCAATCTCCACAAACGCCTTAGTTTAAGGTCCATGTTGGGTTAAGGGGTTAGGGTGTGGATAGGCGTGGCGTATCACTTTTGTAGTTTACCCTCACCCAAATAACATGGACCCCCAAAGGGAGACCTTCATAGACTACTGTCCTTTGAAAAGAATATTATCTGGGGTTCCATATTTGGTTCGTGCAGGGATATGTGTGTGCATATCTAACGGGGAAAACCAATGGAATCACATGCTGCGGGCGTAGTATACTAACCTTTGTTAGAAACAAGAAAGCGGGAATCAAAGTAACCCTGCCAGGCCTGTTTTTCCGGGAACGTGGCAAAGCAACCCCAAAAGTTCGGTGTAAATTCGGCAAAGGGTTGAGAGTCGAGGCTTCAGGGTTTACGCACTGTACAGTTACAGTCTCGTCATCACTACACTTGTCTGAAACATGTCGTTCGCTGTGGGTCAGCAAGGAGATTGTGCGCTGGTATTGCTCTTCCGTCCATCCATATGACCCCAATCTTGATACCATGTTGATTACCACTACTACGGCCTTTGGCTTCTTGCAAACAGCATTGGAGCTCGCGCTCAGAATCCCACGTGCTGTTTACTACTATGCTGCTTTGTGCGACTGAGTGTCTACAGTTATCTACAGTAGCTGTCCTCACATCTTTGGGCTTGCTCAGGAACCTTGACCCATCCGTCAGCCTCTCTCCCATGCAGCTGCGTCGCTCTTGAAGTCGCCATGATCCATCTCAAAGCCTGAGCATTGATGCTGCAGCACAGTACAGTTTAGTCTCGCGCAGTTAAGTACTATCGAATTATCAAATGCTGTAGTAGAGTCACGCAAGATCACATTTTGCTTGGATGTCGCGGGTTGAGGGTTCAAGGTCTGAAGGCGAATGGTCTGAAACGGAAACGTGCACGCGCCGGGGGGGGGGGGGGGGAAGCGGGGAAGGGGGGGCGGGAGGCGGGATGTTTTGTAGAAGTCTTTGTGGGATTGCAACCTTGGTGTCGAAGTGTGCGCTCAAAATGTTCAGTTCCGGGCTGCGCTGGTGAATAATCCAAGACTGTTGTGCGCAGAGCTTAGGCCTGTCAAGAAGTCCCGTGCATACAAGGGCCCTGAACCCAAGCTGCTTGATAGGGGCTTCGGGGTCTGAACTGTGAAGGTGTCACGGCCTTGGGCCACTGATGAGACGTGTTGTTGTAAAGATGGGCTTGATGTTTGTCAAGTCAGGCTCTCAACCCCCTGCTGGCTCATGACAAGTGCATTGTCCCGACTCTTGACTCACAGGCATCGAAATATGCAGATTAATGTGCTACAGCTCAGCTAAAGTATCATACGGACGTGTAGACACAATGACGGAACCGAAAATAGCGTAGTGCTCTGGCCATGTGAAAGATAGCATGCGAAACCAATTCGGGCTCTTTGAGCTATGATTCTTGGGATCTGATGTCATAATCTTCCCGAAGCAAATGTTCGTTGTTATCCGTCTGTTTCAGATCGGACCAACCATCCCACATCTGATTTGCAGTCTACTGTTCCCCGCTTAGACCCCGCTATACCCACGGCCCTAGACCTCCGAAGCCCTTGACCCTAAACCCTGAAGACCAAACCCAGAACCCTAAACCCTAAACCCTTAACCCTAAACCCTCAACCCCAAACCCAGAACCCTAAACCCCTCGAAGCCTTTACGGAGGCGCTGTCGTCCGTAGGTCATCAGCGCCACCAAAATGAGGCCACAGACAGGGACGGGGAGGAGGAGGTCCGACCTTGGCTTGCAGATTTGAGAAGACCTAACCTCAGGGAGTTTTCCTTTGTACCCNNTTAGGTTTGTACCCTTGGGTTTTGGGTCCCTACATTATGAAATATGGCCCTCAATAAGGGTATCTGGGACCCAAAACTTAGGGGTACAAACATTAATGGTACAAACTTAAAGTCTTTGATAACCCTAAGGGTCCAAGTACCTAATAATCATATACTTACCCAAAACCTGTACTATAATCCCTCTTACCCAAAACCCAAGTACCTAATTGTTGGGTACATGGACCCTAAACCCTAATCCCTATAAACCCT